CCTATCTGGCCCACACCAACTTAAACATATACATAAAATGGCGTTTCTCCACACAAGTCAATTGGCATTGCTGGCTCCCATTATTTCCAATGGGCCTTCAAGTGTTTCTCATTGTTTCCAATGGGCAATCCTGTCCTTCCTTTTAGTACATCCCCAGCCAAGGGCAAATGGCAACCCCCAGCAGGATGCCATCAGCCCATCCCCCACCCCGCCCAGGCACACACCCCCCCCCGGCAAACAGAAAAGCCAGGAGAAAGAATCAGAACAGGCGCCCACCTGGTCATGCCAGCAGCCAGGAACAAGACCAGAGGTGATGGCAAGCCCCCCCCCTGACCCCCCTCCAAGCCCGAAGACCTCCTGCAATTCCCACAACAACAACAACGCCCGTGTCTTCACCCACCCACCCTGAGGAGCCACTCTTGCCCCCTGACCTCGAGTCCTGCGCGCTGGAGGGAGGGAGGGGAGTGGTGGTGAAAAGGCGGCAGAGGCCAGGCTGCCCATCCCCCCTCCCAGGGACAAAGACGAGGACGGCAGTCTCCAACGTAATACAGTGAACAGGACAAATGGTGCATTCGCTCCCTCAACTGGAAGAAAGGGGGATTGTTCCTCACTGGGCTCTAGCTGTTGTTCTGCAAATGGCTGCTGCCCTTTGACAATACCGCGGTGATGTGCGACGACTATGTATCAGTTCCATGACAGCACAGTATAATACAGCAGCTTCAGACTGATAAATATATTTTGGCTTAATCTTGTGTAGGCAACAGCATGGAGGCACAAAAGTGGGCAAACAAAGATATCTGTGAGTGTGTGAAAGGGAGTGGAGAGACAGCACATATACATAGGTCTAGTGGAGGGAACTGTTTTGCCAAATGAAATAGAAGTGAGAGAAGAGATGCAGAAATCACGGGAAGCTCACCTAAGCCAATCAGTTGAACGATAACTTCGATTAGTGACAAGGAGTATGTGCTCCAGTTGATGGATTCAGATAAACACAACCTTCATGAGCTGTGGATCATTCTGCATGATTCTTCATGTGAGATGTGGGAGGGGCCGTGGCTCAGTGGTAGAGCATCTGCTTGGCATGCAGAACCTAAGGAACATTTTATTGGGAACATTTGGCTGTACAATCTCAGGAGAATATATAGTTGACCAGAGAGAAGTACTACTGGACATGTGATTGCACTGGAGGCTTCATTTGTATTTTTGTATTTCTTTTCTTTGCCCAGTGGTTAAACTTTGGAACAATTGTTTTCTGGTCTTTATTCCATATTTTGTATACCCTGTTTCCCCAAAAATAAGACCTATCCCAAAAATAAGCCCTAGCAGGATTTCTATGCATTTGTGGTATAAGCCCTAGTGTGTCTTCTTGAGAAAAAATAAATATAAGACAGTGTCTTATTTTCGGGGAAACAGGGTATGTATCATTGTATATATTTTTACATATCAGCCAACATGTTCTGTTTGTATTAGACCTCTGAGGAAGGCCTGTAAAGGCCGAAACGCATTAGGTCTATTTCATTAGCCCTTGTATGTTTTTGTATTTGTATATGAGGTATGAATGGGCCCTTGTTTGTTATTTTAATTTGTGTTGAATAAATACATGTATATTTTTGTATGTTTCTTCTATTCTTGACTAACCTTTTTAGGTTCTGAATCCCAGGTTCAATCGACCATGCCACCAGTTAAAAGATCTGGCGGGAGGTGATGTGAAAGACCTCTGCCTGAGACCCTGGAGAGCTGTTGCCAGTCTGAGTAGACAATACTGATGGACCAAGGGTCTGATTTAGAATAAGGCAGCTTCTTGAGTTCACGTCTTCATGTGATGACCAACTGAAGTCATGACTAAAGCTGCATATCACTGTATTATATCTGCATCACTGATGAAAAAGAAC